GTTTGGTAGTCCTAGACCACTCGGCCTTTTCCTCTTGCCTTGTCATAGGTCTAGGTCCCCTTTTCCCCTGTTTCCATCTAGATACAGACGAGTCTTGGGTTTTGCCTTGGGAGTCCATCATAGGTCTTTCTCGTTGTATTGCTGGGGAAACTATGCCCGTTCATTGCCGAAGCACTGCTACGTTATTTTGGGCAAGGACATCTTGTTCCTCGAAGCCCAGCCATAGCTGGGGCTGGGACACGGAGTTGGAGATCACACTGCTGCTCTTCAGCAGCTCTCCACGAGAGCTTCCACAGGACTGTGTTGCTGGGTTTGGGCGCTGCCATTTTCCACTTGGAAGCCACATCTGCTGTTCCTCCTCACGAGGAACTTCGTTTTTGTCTTCTTCGAAGTGCTGGATTGGTTGTCTCCTTCTTCATCAGGACTTCCAGCGCTGCACTTCCGTGCGGGCGCTGAGCTGGCGCTGCTATCATTGGGGTTGCTGGTTTGGCATGCTGTGACAGTTGTGGGGTTACTGCTGCTGCGGCGGCCATAGCCAGGGGTATGAGGTGGCGAGGAGGAAGAAGAAGACTCCTGTAGACTTCGTTGAACACTTGTTTTTGTTCGTTCGGGGTTGTAAACACGGTTGTGCCTCTTGGAACCAGTACTTCGGATTGATTGGAGGAGGACGGGGGATTACAGAATTGAAATTCGTTTTTCAATTCTCTGTGCATTTCGAGCTTCCGCTGTGCATATCTTCTCTCCGGTTTTGTGTGGATTTGCCTCCTTCGAGTCTACTCTGCAATTGCATGCGTGTAATGGAACATGTGAATTCATTGTGGATTGAAGTTCAATCGGGTACATAATACACTGGTGGGAAAGTGGTAGCCGAGAGCCGTGGAAAGGAGCACAGGTGCAGGGGAGCGCTGGCGGAGGGGAGTAATAAGGAACGCAGGCACAGGGGAGCGCTGGTGAAGGGGTGCGCCGGCGGAGGGGACCGGAGGGGAGCACTGGTGCGAAGAGTGGCGGAGGAGGGGATGGAGGGGTGGTGGATAAGCAGAGATGGAGCAGCCGGGGGGGGGAGAGCGGCGGAGTAGGAGGGGGAAGGGTCAGAGGGGCAGCGGATAGCTGTAAGAGCAGCTGAGGAAGGGGGGGAGCACAGGGGAGCGCAGGGAGCACAGGCGGAGGGGAGCGCCCTGAGGAGAGTGACGGGGAGGAGAGCGCAAGGA